AAAAAAATAATTCTGAAAGAAGTACCAGATATAAGCAAGGAAAATGAATTAATAAACCTTCTTAAGTTAGCAGCTATGTTTTTGTTTTCACTTAGCTTATCAATTTAGAGCTGTTCTGTTAACATGAAGGAAAACTGAACTACATAACAAGTGTGTTTGAGTTTTAATGATGCTTGTAAAGTACTAACACAGGGTTGCCACTCCTCAGGGAGAACAGGGGAAACCTGGAAAATACAGGGAATTTAAAAATCACCTAAAATAACAGGGAAAATGCAGGGAATTTTGATTTTTTATTTACAAACTGGGAAAATACAGGGAATTTTGTTTCTTACTCTCGTCTTTCAAAAAATGGTGAATCTATGGGATATTTCAGCTATACTAAACTATTTCATTTACTATAGCAATATTTAAGTATGTTCAACTGTTTTTCCAGCAATTAAAACTAATAAATATAGTTAGCCCAATATAGCTCACACAAGAGCACAGTAATTGTTGTTTCATCTTAATATATTGTGTATAATATGTACAGGGAATTTTTGTTCCAGATTTCAGTGGCAACCCTGTAACAAATGTTTAATTTATATATTTTGTTTTGCAGGATCAATAATAATTTAGAGCTATATTTGTTTTTAATAATGCTTTATAATTTCTGCATTTCTTTTCTTTATTATACAGAATAAAGGAGGTGTTATGTAAGAATAAAGAGTGCTGCATCACCAAATACTAAAATTTATAATTTTGTAAGCATATTGTTTGTATGTGCTGTGTGGATTATTATTTAAATTAAATGTAACAACAGGGTTGCCACACCACAGGGGATTTAAAAATCACCTAAAGTAACTGGGAAAAATGCATGGAATTTTGAGTTTTTCCTTGGAAACTGGGAAAATTTTGTTTCTTATTTTTGTCTTTTAAAAAATGGAATCCACTCAGAGCTCTCAAATGGTAACCACTCATTTGCTGTAGCATTATTTGTTTTAAGTATGATCAGCTGTCAGTTTTTCAACAATTATAACTAGAATACTTAGCCTAATACAGCTCATACAGTGATTGCTGTGTTTCCTCTTAATATATATTGTGTATAATATGTAAAGGGAAAACACAAGGAATTTTATTTTTTTTACAACTTTGAGTGGCAACCCTGGCATTGATTAAAATATGGAAGTGAAGTGAGAAAGCAATTCCAGGAGTCAAATAAATGAAAGGAAATGAACCTTTTGAGTGAAATAATCATAATAAATTTTATTTAGGGGTATATTGTCCATAGCTTGGTGCCAGCAAGATCCAGATCTCTTATTATCCTGTGGGAAAGATAACAGAATTCTGTGTTGGAATCCAAATTCAAGTTCCGAAAATGGAGAGGTTAGAACTCTTTTGATGATCTCTTTCGAGATTTAATGCTTTTTATACTTGTTTATAAATTTGAAAAAAGATGAAAAGATTTATTAATCAAATAATTCCATGATCACCATTGTAACTATAGACTTTAAAAGCATATCACTCATTTTAAAAAAGAATCAAGCGATTCTAATATTGTTTCTTAAAATAACTATTAATTATTAATATATATATATGCCCAGCTTTTTCATATCATCTGTTCAGGTCTAGAAAACTAGTAGCAAGGCATGAGATTTTTTCTCAGAATTCCACATATCTGAAGACCATTGATTTGCAGACTTACACGAATCAGAACTTCTAATCCGACAAAATTTTCACTGCAATTTAAAATTTGGAGTCAGAATTAAGTTCTATAATCTATAATTGAAATTTTGAAACCTTGGCTGAATCGCGTTAACGAGATATTTTCAATCACGGGACTCTTCCGCAATTATCATTTTGGTTTGTCATATTTTCATAGTTTTTAATATTTGAGACTACACTGGAATCCTCTAATATCGAGATTCATGTTCACTCAATTTTAATATCGAACATCGATTTTTTTATTTACCTCATTTAAAAGTTATTCATTGTGAATTGTATTTATGTGATTTAAAAATCGTACATCGCGATTCATGTTTAAGCGAGTTTAAAATCCAACATCACTATTCCCATTTACTGGATTTAAAAAATCATGTGTGTCACAATTTGTATTTACGTGATTCAAAAATCCAATAATGCAATTAGTATTTTCACGATATTAAAATCTAATTTTGTGATTCATGTTCGTGCGATTTTTAATCCAATGTCTCGATTCTTGTAAAAACTAAGTTTTTTCTTAAATTAGTTACTATAAAAGTCTGGTATTCTTTATTGATAAGTAATTTAATTATCGAAAAATTCTATTAACTATAAATAGTATATAAATTGTTATCGTATCGATTTTTTACACATAAAATTGTGGGGAGTGAGTTGCTTTCGACAATGTCAACCTTTCTCTATGAAAAGGTACCCCACCATTGAATCGAGTTAACATGTCTTATATACTAGTGAATTGGAATTATATTTTTGTAGTGGTAGATACACTACAAAAATTTCCAGGGTTTTTCAGTTTGTGTCACAATCACCTAGCTATTTAAAAATATTGTGTCACAATATTTTTAAATAGCTGGAGTTATCATCAGAAATTGAAACTAAATGAATATCTCATCAATGTGTATTTTCAAAGGTTCTGTGTGAGTTGCCAACTGGAAGCCAATGGAGTTTTGATGTTGCATGGTGTACAAGAAATCCAGCTGTTATAGCAAATTCTTCTTGTGACGGACACGTTAGTGTATACTCTCTGATGGGTGGACAGCAGCAAACACAATGCAGCTCTAAGGTTCTTCTATTTAAAATAATTTCATTTATCCATGTGGTTGCATTTTATTACTGTACTTAATAAAAATCCTCAGAAAAAGGATCTCAAACAGTGTGGGGAATACTAACATGAATTAAACTAATATGAGCCATCGAATAATGAAATGAAACTAAATTGCCAAAATAAACTTTTTATTGAAAACTTTAAAATAAACACAGACCTAGCACATGCTGGAGCTTCCAAAATAGCTGGGAAAAGGAACTGTGCGCCCTGAAGCTCGCTTAAAAGATAAAGTAAACACGCTGTGCGAAATCGCTAATCCAACTGACAAGCAGGCAAGAGTTTCAGAGCGCATGCACTACGAATAACAAATAAGAAAAGATTTGTTCTTACAAGTTATTGTTAGATTATTCATCTACGGCTGAGCAAACAGAAAAAGAAAAACTTTGTAAAGAGTGATGGAAAAAAAAATTTGCACTTATCATTTTGTTATTAAAGCCTGTATTTTGATAATTTTATGCAATCCATAAAATGATCTTTTAAAAAACAATAAATGTTGTTAAAGAATGTCAGTGAAATAGAAAAAAACTCCTCTTTTAATTAAACATTTGATACGGTATTACTTTATTAAATTTACACAACTGTATTAAAACTATTATGTGTCAATTTAAGGTAGTCAGTAAGCTTGAAATAGGACATAGTTTTGCTTTTTACCCTTTTCCTCATATAATCAAAAAAGAATTTTATACTACCTGGAATAAATTATTTATTTAAAAGCTTCTACTGTTTTATTAATATACTGCAGAATATGAAACTTATGACAAAAAAAAGAGTCTAATGACACAAATTTTGCACCTGGTGGCAATAAAGGACCCTTCTTTTTTTCTGACTAATGGTTGGTCTCAACATTCATTTTTTACGTAGCCAGTTTTTCGCAAGCCTACTGTAATTGTATTAAAATAATTTTAAACAAAATTGGGGCAATTAAAGTATGAATTGAATATTTAATGGGGAAAAATTTAAGAGTTGAATTTTGTTGCTTGAGATATTTAGTTACAATATAAGAAGCAAAAATATTAGAAAATATCAGGTAAAAAGTTACCTAATAAAAGTTATATACAGGGTATCCGCGCAAGTGGAAAGTCATGAATTTTGGTATTGAACAAAATTTGTCATGAAATCTCATGATTTTAACAATTTTTTTAAGAAAATCATGGAAAGTCATGGATTTAGGTTGCTGAGAAATCTACTTTTAAAATGGAATCTAAAAATTCCCCCCCCCCCTTTCATGATGTTCTGAATATCTGAATTTGTAATAAAATCCCCACTCAGTCATATTTTATTAAAATATAAAATGTTTTTATCATGTTCTTTAAAAAATATCGTATTCTTTCAAAAAATTAAAGAAAAAGCATTTCTAGAGCGAATTATCTTTTAAATTTCTGTGATTTCAGAATTTTTGTTATTATTTTTATTTTATCAATTTAAAATTTTAGCTGAAGGCAAGCCAGTCATTGGCGAATTTTTTTTAATTCTGAAATGAGAACAGAAAAATCAGGAGTATTTCTTTCCTTTCAAGAAAAGTATCTTTAGAAGTGTAATTCTGCAGGGAAGAAAAATTATTCGCTTTTGTTTTTTTCCAGCTATTTTATTGCTTCAACTCTTTCTTTACTCTGTTTTTTTTTTTAATTTAAAATCTTTAAATATGAAGATGCAAAGCATAACAGTTCTGGCTATATCTATCATTTCATTTTATGTTATTATAATGCGTTTTTTAATTTCTTGTTACGTTTTTGTCGGAAAAAATAGTAACTTCGTTAAGTTATGAAAAATTCTAGGAATTAGTCATGAAAAGTCATGAATTTAAAAATCTAAAATGTAGCAGATACCCTTACCCTGTAAATATAAAAAGTGTTGCAAAATGGAAGAAATATCCAGAGACGCCAAAAATGTAATATCTCAAAACTGTTAAAATAAATTCTATAAATGCCAGGAATTACTTATTTTTTTTATAGAAAAGTTAACTATTTATAAACAATGTCTGTTTTAAATAAACATAAAATGTATGGAATAGTTGTTAGCTGAATCTGCATGGCGACCGGTATTTCTTTGATGCTTCATCAATATTTTCTTTAGCTGATGTCAATACTAATTTTTATAATGCTTTAAAATCAGAAAATTATTCTTAACTAATAATTCTGGTTACAAATTTAATTCACGTGAACTAATAAAGTTGAAAGCATTTGTTATTACTTTTTTTCTGATTAAAACCATACTTTATATTGACTTCTTAATTTGTTAAGTATTTTAAAGTAAAATTTGTCATTAACTTTTTCAATAGTGTAATTACATGACTTTATTGTTTTACCAAATTTTTTTTCTTGAAATAAAAAGAAAAAAAACTTATGTTCCTTTTTACAGATTGCTGAATCATTTCCTGGGGCTGAAAAATTGATTCAACCTCCAAATGTTGAATCCATTCACAGGCATATTTCGGTCTCTTTACAGAAGCCCCCAAAATGGGTCAGAAAGCCAGTTGGAGCATCATTTGGGGTGAGTTTTTTACTTTTATAATAAAATATTGACTGCTTTAGGGGAGAGTAGCTTTTGACCATGTCAACCGACAACTATGAAACGGTACCCCCACCATAGAATCGAGTTAACATGTCTTGTATACTAGTGAACTTCAATTATATTTTTGTAGTGGTGGAAACACTACAGTACTCCCCCACCAGAATTATTTTATTTGTGATAGAATTCGATGACTGGATACCACTCGTTGATTCATTGCTATTTTGTGAGAAACCAGGAGAGCTGTATGAAGATAACCGTACTTTTTGCTCTTCGTGAGAGCTGTATTAAGATCACGGTCATTGTCGCTCCTGTGTTGCCGTTAGCAGTCGAGTGTATGCAAGCCGACGTTGTGCGTGATCGAGAGGAGACTGAGTAGCAACAGTGTGAGGAGGTGGATGACGTTGCAGTCACAAGTAGCAAGTCAACTGTTCAATGTGGATTATCCAACGTTACTGTCGATTCATATCGAAGTGGGCGTTTCTGCCGAGGTAGGCGTGTTCACATCACGTCCGAAGGTCACCAATTTGGGAGTGGAGTTATCGACAATGTCGGCCTTAATCTATCAAAAGGTACCCCGAAATAGAGTCGAGTTACATGTCTTATATACTAGTGAATTGGAATTGTATTTTTGTAGTGGTAGATATGCTGCATACACATTTATTTTTTTGCTTTATTCTACAGAGCCCAAAATGTAGTCTTTCTTTTTCATTTTTTTTTTTTTTTTTTTTTTTTTTTTTTTTTTTTTTTTTTTGGATTTTATGGTGTTAGTACAGTTATTCAATTGGATTAGTTTTATTTTCTTTTTCAAATAACTTTTGATGTTTTTATGGTTGACTTTTAACATTTTTTAAAAAATGTTTTATTGTTTTTAAATTGATTTTCCTCAATACATATTGTATAGTGATGTAAAAAATAGTAATTGGATTGAATGCTGAATATTTTCTACCTATAAATAAATTAGCTTAATCACTATTGAAAAATAATCAAAACTTAGCTATATTATTGGTATGGGGTAAAGGAGGGAAAAACTTGTGAAGTTGAAAACAGACAAAAATCCTCCTAATTCTTAAACCAAAACTTTAATGCTAAAATTGATATATTTTCCAGAAAGAAAGCGCCCATGAAACATTAAAGGAAATTGTTTATCAGAAACACTTTTAAAAATGCCATGATATCATAAAAAAGATTATGCACAGAAATGAAACTGAAAAAATAAATTTTAATTTTTGAAAGAAATTTTTAAATCTGAACATGTCAGTTTTCCAATTACTATATTTTTAAGAAAATGATATAAGTCTAATAGAATCCCTCTTAACCGTGTCATGATAAAAACAAAAGTTATTTGAGAAAGAAAAGGAACAAAAATTGTTCTTAATTTTTAAATTACGAATTGGATACTAAAAATCTAAATAACTTACACATTGCCATATATATATATATTTTTTTTTGAGTGACGATGAAAGAAAAATGTTTCTTAGAAACACTCGTTGAAAAATACTGTATCATAAAAACACTAATAAAAAGTGGACCACCTTTGAATTTGAACATGCAATAACAATAGTTTACTTATTTAAGTAAGATTATTTGTGTATCAAGCAGGGTTTGGTGATTTAAATCAGCTTGATTTAAATCAAATGATTTTTTTAAAAAAAAATCATTGATTTAAATCAAGCTGATTTTTTTTAATATTATATCTTGATTTAAAAATTTAAATAACAGTGTTTTAAATTATTGATGCTTTTATTATTTTCTTTTCTTAGTTTTAAAATTTATTTGAAATAAATTGCTGCATTCATTAATTTTAGTTAATGAAATTACTTTCTTTCTTGGTGTTTCTTAAATTCCAGCACATTTAAAATTACATTTTTAAAAATCTTTTGATTCTTGAGATTGAAAGTACAGATTAATGTAAACATGTAATGCTGTCTTAATACAGACTTGCATAGCTGTAGAAAGTAATTAATAAACATATGAATTTTTTTCACAAAAAAATACAAGTAATATTAATTAAATTTCTACTTTTTGATTGAAAAAGCACGGAATTAAAATCTACATTATATTTTATTGGTGGAAAGTGTATATTTGTAAAGCTTGATGTTATCTTAAGAAGAAATTACACTTATGTCAAAAATAGGGTTTAAATTCTTTAATTCATGTAGTCTTTAAATTTCAATCTTGCATTTGTTTCAAAATGGTTGCTATGCATTCAAAGATATGTGTAATAATTAAAAATTGTTTTAGGTATAATATAGTTTTAATATTAATTTTGATTAAGCATTCATGAAGTTTTTTTAATCATAAATCAAAGTTCTTACAGTGCATTTGAATAAAAATAAATCCGATTTAAATCAAATAAATCTGATTTAAATCAAAAAAATCTGATTTAAATCAAAAAAAATATCACAAACCCTGCTATTAAGTAAGGTTAATTTACTTATTAAGTAGCTGTGAAAAATATTTCTCCATAAATGTAGCACTTTTTCTCCCCTCAGTTTGGTGGTAAACTCGTGTCTTTCTCCACTGAGGTGACCAGTAATACTCAGACTCAAGATCTACCATCCAGAAGGATAGTACAAATATGTCAAGTTGTTACAGAGCCAGAACTTTTAAAAAATTCTGAGAAATTAGAATCCTCTCTCGCTAATGGAAATCTCGTCGAGTTTTGTCAAAGCAAGGTGGAAGGAAGTCGAAACGAGCAGGAGAAACTTGTCTGGAATTTCTTGCAGGTAATTTCATTATCCTTTAAATTTTAGTTTTCAGTATGATTATATAAGCTTATGTTTTTTCTGTGTGCGTTCCTATTTTTGTCATGGTCTTCAAACTTTAGAAGCATCTGAGCTACTGTACCATTTTTGAGTCCTGTGGGTTGCCAACCAAAAGAACTTTCCACTTTTTATAAAAATCTTTCATTTGGTAAACTTATATTTGTAGTAAATATGAAGCAGAAGGCAGAGTGTTTTTGAAATGTGTATTTTTGTTTTTTAAAAGTCCTTAAAGCTGCTTTTTTTTCAGTAGATGTTAGTAAGAGATTTTTTTTTTCTTTGTTGTTATGATTTACGAGGAAATCTTGATATTCAACAATGTTCTGTTCTATATCATCACCGTTCATTTTACCTCAATTTGTTTCTCAGGGATGAGATTTTTCCGCTTTTTAGCGGATTTCCGCTTTTCTCACTTTTTATCTCTTAAATTTCAGCTTTTTTTTTAATCAAAAATTCANCGAATGAGCCATCATTCTTTATCATTACTTTCATTATGTGAATTAAATTTTGTGCTAAAAAAATCTTTTTCTATATGTATTTTAAAATAATTATGAAAAAGAAGAACTTAGAACATAATTTTTTACTTTTCTAATGATTCCGCAAGATCTTTGAAACCGTGGGTCATTAGGATGCAGGACTTTCGAATTTCTAGATCCTTTTTTAATCGATGCAGCACCCTATTTAAAATACCATAGATGATTGTGCTCTGGAAAAAATCCGGATTTCCGGATTTTTCACTAATTGTGTTCCGGAAGTTTCCTTAAATCCAGGGTCCAGAAGTTTCAAGAAATCATCCATCCCATTTATGCATAAAAATTCTTGAATATTTTATTTAAAAATATTAGAACTGGGATTTATACTTGGCATCTCTTCCATTTGTAATTTTTTCTTCTGGTGGAATAATAAATGTGATAGATTAAAGTAAACTTATACATAATTATTCATTTAAATTATGCTGTATATAATTTATTTAGAATTTAATGTTTTGAAAATATCAATAATTTAAATTTGTAAAGACATTAATTTTTTGA